GGCTCGGCTTGGCCTGAGCCCAACTTTTAAATTTAGGCTCGAGCCAAGCCCAAGTTTTTTGGGCTTGACCGGGCTCGACCGGGCTCGGCCTATGGGGAGCTTTAATATTGATGGATCATATGAAAGAAACATCTACAATTTACAATAATTTGCGATATTATTCCTCACCTAATTATCGTGATATATATATAATAAATATAAATTGTGATCAAGATATTTAATGTGAAAAAATTTTTAAAAATAATAATCTTCTGTAATTTCTTCGTTCTGAAAAATTCTTTTACAACTTTTATTATATTACAAAGTAAGGAAAAAATTTTTGAATATTCGGAGTTTTTCTCTTCAAAATGATCATAAATTAGAAATTTTGGCAATATTAATTTTTGAATGATGATATATCTCGACAATCAAGTCAGTAATTCTATTTGATCGATACAATTTACTTAATTATCGTGATATAAAAATATAAAATATAAATTGCTATTCGTAATCCGCAAGATATTTAATATGCATAGACTTTTAAAAAGTCTGAATTTTAGATAAAAACTTTAAGACAAATAATTAAATTATAGACTAATTAAAATCGACCAAACAATAGACTAATAAAAAATCATTGGTGATTTTTCCAGAATCAAGGACTTCATCCTTGTGAAAAATTGTAAAATTTGAATCAATTAGCCGTTCAACTTCTTCAGGACCAATCGATTCCCAGAGAGCAGTACTAGGTGTTACTATTTGAATTCCCAATTGAGCGAAGGATACTTTTAGTTACAATTTTAATAAAGTAGTCGTCATATTTATTTTCTTCGATGACTTAATTGAGTTTCCCTTCATCTTAATTATCACGTCAATTTGTCACAATGTATTAAGACGTGAACGTGACCATAGTAGTAAGACATAACCGTAGTAGTAAGACATGACTGCGAATATCTCCGTGAAAATCGATGTTAAAAGAATAAAAGATATATCATCTTGTAGCAAAGAACTAGGAATTTTGGTCTGTCATAGAAATACCTTAGTAGAAAATCGCTCCCTGTCACATAAATCGTGGCTGAAGTCAAAAAATGAAACTTTAATAACTGATAATATAATATAATAATTAACTATAATAATAATAATCCTATTTATTTTGATTATATTATAGTTACGACACACGACTATAGTCACAGTCACGTCTTACTACTACAATTACGACTTACGGCAACTTTTAATAAAATAAAAAAGATACGTCACACCTACGTATATGCTGTGACTTGGAGGGGAGAATACAAAAATAAAAATGACAAAAATTTTTACTTTTTTGAAGTTTTATTAATTGAATAATTAATAATTGATTGTAAATTTTGTAAATTGTATTTTGATTTCTCCAGGGGAAACACAATATTTCTTATATAAGTTCGCGTTTTTTTTACCTAAATAAAAATTTTGAGGAGAGTTAGTTTAATGCATTTAATTAATTAATTAATTAATTAATAATTATTATAAGAAATTATTTTTAGGTTACGGTCTACATCTCAATATATAGTTCGAATACTTTTTCCAGAAATAGAAACAGCTATCAGACTTTATTGCAGAGGTTATAAAATATTTCTACAAAAGGAATAATGATTGATAGTAGTGTAAATTTTAGATTAGATGTACATGATGATTATTAGAATTTTGCGTTTCAACAATTGATATATAAAATGAATTTCTTAATATAATGAATTCATAATAGATATAACGAATTTTTGTTATAATGAATTTTTTTTTTCAGCACAACGAATAATTTTTTCATGCAGATTTTATTAATAACCCATTAGGAAGCTTGAAACAAAGTATATAATAATAAATTAAATTATAAATTTATAAATTAATAAAATATATAAAAAAAATATTCGTTATAATAAAAAATAATTATATTATGAACTAATTAAAATTAATGACAGACTAAACAATAGATTAATAAAAATTAAATAAAATTAAATGAGCATATTTCTAATCATTTTCAAGAAGATAAAAAAATTTAAGGTGGTATTATGATTGTTCCAGAATCAAGAACTTCATCCTTGTGAAGAATCAATAAATCTAAACCAATTAGCTGGTTAACTTCTCCAGGACTAACCGTTTTCCATCTAGCAGTACCAGGTACTTCTATTTTTTTAATTCCAAATTGAGGGAAGGATACTTTTGGCATTGCAATTTGAACAAAGTAGTCATCAGGTGTATTTTTTTCGATGCCTTTATTGATTTTCCCCTCAACTTTTACATTACCGTCTTCGACTTGAGTGAATGTAATTTTACCGTCGAGTATTGCTAATGTGACAGTAGCGAAATCACCAGGTACGGGAGCAGCGTGAGAGAATACAAGACAGATTAAAAATAAAGCTGCCAAAAAAGTGAAAATTTTATTTTTTGGTATCATTTTGTATAATTTTTGAATAATTGAATTTTAAATTGTATTTTGATTTCTCCAGAGGAAACAAAAAAAAAAAAATCCACTCTTTTTATATTTCTTTGACGTATGACACGCTTTCCAGAAATGCTTCCTATTCATTCGCTTTCGTAAATAACAAAATGGTCTATATTCTCGTCGATCTACCTAAATTTGAACTTTTCTTAATAAAACTCTTCATTTAAAACATTTTATTTTAAAACTTTAACCGAAATTTTCTTCAATTGTTATCTTGACTACAGACCACAATCAGCATCTTAATATATAGTTCAAATACTTGTTCCAGAAACATCTATCAGACTTATTGCAGAAGATTATAAAAATATTAAATAATGTGATAATAATGTAAATTTGGATTATATGTACATGAAGAAGAAATATAGCAATTAGAATTTTAAAGTAGATATTTTTATTCAATCACAATTGTACATACTTCAATAATTGACTGGAATTATTAATATACTCAGTGCTATTCTTTATTAGTAATAAATAAAATTAAAATTTATTTCATAAAGAGAATGAGATTAATTTATTTTAGTATTACTGAGACTTGTGTAATTTAATCATCGTGATATATAAAATATAAATTGCTATTTGCAATCCGCAAGATATTTAATAAGCAAGATATTTAATATGCAAAAAAACTTTAAAATATTAAAACCTGAATTTAGGCAAAAACTTTATTAAGAAAAATAAAAGAATTAATTATTATAATTAAAATTAATGACAGAAATGACAGACTATAGAATAGACTAATAAAAATAAAATTAAATTAAATGAGATTAAGATAAAAAATTAAATATTTAGGATTGGGTGATTTTTGCAGAATCAAGAACATCATCATTGTGAAGAACCGAAAAAGTTAAACCAATTAGCACGGTAACATCTCCAGGACCAGTCGCTTCCCAGGGACCAGCACTAGGTGGTGTTATGGAAATTCCTAATTGAGTGAAGGATGCTTTTGCAGATTCAATTTGAATAAAGTAATTATCAGGATCATTTTCATCGATTCCTTGCTTGAGAACCCCATTAACTTTTACATTTTCGGCATCAATTTGAGTGAATGTAACTAAGCCGTCGAGTTTTGGTAATGTGAGAGTAGCTTTATCACCAACAGCACGAGTTAAGGGTAAGGGAGATGCGTGAGAGAATACAAGACAGATTAAAAGTAAAGCTGCCAAAAAAGTGAAAATTTTGCTTTTTGTCATCATTTTGAAGTTTTATTAATTGAATAATTGATTAATTGATTTGTAAATTGTATTTTTATTTCTCCAGAGGAAACAAAAAAAATCCACTCTTTTTATATTTCTTTGACGTATGACATGCTTTCCTAATTCAATATTTTATTCGCTTTCATAAATAATAAATCAAAAAATAGTCGGATCAAAACGTGGGCATGTAAAATAAAAATCCTTTCTGGATAACTACCTAAATTCGTGCTTTCTTAATAAAGATCTTCCGATTAAGCATATTGATCATATAGAACATTTCGAAACATCTGCAATTTACGATATAAAATCTAAGTTGAGATTCGTAAAAACTTTTAAAGATATTAAATTATTAAAGCCTGAATTTAGGAAAAAACTTTATTAAGAAAAATAAAACAAGCGAATTATCATAAAATTTCATGTGATTGAATTAATTTAATTAACCAAATTATTAATGATTAGGGTTGTTAACTGGAGCATAATGGACTAGTATCCAACCCGAGTTATGTATCACTCCATTATGGAGTGGGTTAAGATTTCTAATTTCTTATACAAACCTGGAGCAATTTATTTATTATAACCCGGGCCGGGTTGCTATATATAGTGATACCTAACAACATATATATAAAATCAGAAATAATTGTCGATGGTCGATGGTTTCCGCATATAAACCTTTTTATTTTAATAAGTAAACGTCAAAAATGGTACTAATTAATATTCAAGACAATAATTAATTTCGTATCACATTCAAAGAACAGGCCAATATCACAAAAATTAAAAGAAAATTAATGGTTAAATTCGAACGGACAAAAAAAAATCTTAAAACGATAATTGTTCGCTCAATTTTGAGGTCTATCCTTTAAATATATACATAATTCATTATTGTAGCAACGATCGACGATTTTGTATATAATTGTTATATTTTTAACAGATTATATACAAAATCGTCGATCGTGCTACATATGAAACTTTTTATATTATAAGTGAATCTCAAAAACGGTACTAAGTAACCTCAAATACAAGAATGAATTATGTATCATAATTAAAGGATAGACCTATATCATCAAACTTGAGCGAACAATTATCGTTTTAAGATTTTTTTCGTCCGTTCGAATTTAATCACTAATTTTTCTCTCGATTTTAATGATATAGGCCTGTTCTTTAAATATAATATGCAATTAATTATTGTCTTGAATATTAATTAGTACTATTTTTGACGTTTAATTATTATAATAAAAAGTTTTATATGCGGAAACCATCGACCATTAACAATTATTTATGATTTTATATTATAATATTACTCCATGGAACAACTCGAAGTAACCTGCACTAGTCAAATACAAAAGAATTACTGTATTGAATGGTAATTCCTATACTATAGATAAGTAACAATTGACTGTCCTATTGCATCCTATATTATAAATCAGCTAAAATCAGAATTCCTTTTCAGTACAGCAAATCTTTTGTATTTGACCTGTGCTGAAGTAATCCATAGAGTATCCAACCTGATATCAACTCAATACAATAACCCAGGTTGGATTAGGTTGACCCTTGTTCCACTATAACTAGGGTTGCTAAATGGAGCATAATGTTCTGGCATCAACTCAGGTTATGTATCACTCTGTTATAAAGTGAAATAAAATTTTTAGTTTTTTTGTACTAACCCATAACAAAATATTTTATTATAACCTGAATTACTATATAATTTTTCTCCAGGTTACTCTGGGTTACTCTAGGTTGCTCCAAGTATATTAGTGACTTTTTAGAACAAAAATTTTTGTAAAATGTTTTTTAAAATATAAAAGTTTTCTAGAATAGAATGGAAAAAAAAAATGTTAAAATTTTTCTACTATAGTTATCAAAGATATTTTTTATGCCTGATTTCATATGCTGAGTTCAAAAATTATATATACTAAATATTGAAATCAAAATTTTTTTCTATATTAGTCTAATATATTTAAAATAAAGTTTGTTTACTATAGCAAAGTACATCTCAAAAAGAAATGTACAATGTTATGAAGTGACTAGTTAATTAATAATATAACAAATTTATTTGCATAAAAGTAAAATTTTTTTAATCTAAAATTGTTATCAAATTATTATCAAATAATATGAATATAAAAAAGTTCTGCTTCAAATGTAAACTAGTATACGCTGGTCAAAAATTTATAAATACTATACCTATCAGGTACCTAATAGATATAAGAGTAATATACATGTTCATATACTTATCAGGTATTTAATAGGTATATTAGGTACCTAATAGGTGTAAAAAATATTTTACCACACTTATCAGATATAAACATGTATATTACTCTTACACCTATCAGGTACCTGATAGGTGTGATATTTATAAATTTTTAACCAGTGATATGTAGTAAAGTAGAGCATTAGATAACTGATGAATATAATAAATTTATTTATACTATAGAAGGCTAAATTTTGTTTTAAAAAATATTATCAAATAATACAAACATGAAAAAACTCTGTTCCAAATGTAAGCTAACATGTATAACAGAATAGGTATTAAATAATTAATGAATATATCAAATTTATTTATAGAAGGCTAAAATTTTATTTTAATTTTCAAGTATAAAATTATAACATAATATCTTTTAGCATGTTTTTTACATGTCCCAGGTGTAGAAGCAGTTGGTTTACTACAAACATTATATAAAACACATTTTTTGAACTCCAAAGTTCATGACATTCATTGGACATCAACATTTACATTTACAGATTTTTTTAAAGTTGTGTATATATTCACACGTATATTCACCTTACATTTTGATTAATTATTTTAATTTAAATAAAAGATCTGATCTGATTATATTAATAAAGAAACATGAATTTAATATAATAGTTAAAAATGTTCAAATTGTGAATCTAGTTTCACTACTAGAAAAACAAGAGATCTTGAAAAATACATGAATTTAACAGAAGTATTTCAAAAAAAATCATATTTAGAACTATTTTACTTAATGCAAAATCAAGAAGTAAATATATAGATACTGTTATCCATATAAACTTTCTACAATTTACAAAGACAACGGGGTAAAATAATACTAAACTAATAAACAAAACTAAGTATAACTATAAGAATTACTAATCTCAAAATAAATAATTACAATACAAGGGTTTATATGTAGAAGGAATTAAGTACGATCAATTATGAAAGAGACATATTTACTATTAACAGTGATATGAAGACTTGTTAACAGGAGCAAACAGTTTATCAATTATCAAAAGAATACAATAAACAAGGGACTCAAAGGATTTTATAATAATAACTTTATTACTTAATAAATCCTAACTAATTCGAAAACTAAGAAACTGACTAGAAAACTGAAGACTGAGTTAAGGA